TGGGTCTGCGGCGCTGCGGCCTCGTGGCCAAAGCGGAGCATGGACAGCCTCTTCGTGGAGGAGGTGGCGGCCTCCCTGGTCAGGGAGTTTCTCAGCAGAAAGGTACGTGGCGCCACCCTTGCAGTTCTGGGAAGTTGCTTGATTGTGGGGGTGGGTAAGGGGAGCAGTCTGGAGACTCTCCCTGGAGACCTTTTGGGATGGAGCCCTTCCCCTGCCCGCTGCCTGCCCTAGAGATGCCTGCTGTGAGAACCCCTTTCCCCGGGCTTTGGGAACTACATTTCCCAGGAGCCATTTCTGTCTCCGCTCACTTCCTGCAAGCAGGGACAGGACAGCGGCCGCCCTTAGAGGTATCTCTCTCTTCCCGGCTCGCGAAGCCCGGGCCTGCGCCCTCCTCATTTTCCTAAAGTTCCCGAGGCACTGGGAGCCCAGCAGGCCAGCACGGCTGCCCGACTCTGATGTCATCAGACTTACATCCCACTAGGAAAGAACTTCCTCCGAAAGGGAACCCAGAGGGCTAAAAAAAGTTCTTGCCAGTCAAACCCTTTAGTCCTGTTCATCAATGGGAAGTTCAATCGAGGTCGTTTTAAGTTCTGTTATCTTGCATCGGGTTTCCCTGGTGGCTCGGCTGGTGAAGGATCCACCTGCAATGCAAGAGACCTCGGTTTGGTTTCTGGGTGGGGAAGATCCCCTGGAGAAGGGATAGGCTACCCAATCCTGTATTCTTGGGCTTCCCTGATAGCTCAGCTGGTAAAGAATCTGCCTGCAGTGCGGGAGACCGGGATTCGATTCCTGGGTTGGGAAGATCCCCTGGAGGAGGTCGTGGCGACCTATTCCAGTATTCTTGCCTGGAGACTCCCATGGACAGAGGAGCCTGGCCGGCTGCAGTCCATGGGGTGGCAAAGAGTCCGACACGACTGAGCGACTAAGCACAGCAGAGCACATTATCTTGTGCTGGGAGAGTTTTTAGAGAACTCAGAAATTGGGGAGGTCCTTGGCTGTCACCTGTCCTGACAGTGGAGGTGAAGGCGGGCTGGGGAAGAGGTTGCTGGGAGTTACACCATGTATAGTAGAAGTGGAGGGAGAGTACCCATGGCTCTTACACAAGGTCTCCTGGGGAAGGAAATGGCAACCCACTCCAGTATTCTTGCCTGGGAAATCCCTTGGACAGAGGAGCCTGGCAGGCTACAGTCCATGGGGTCGCAGAGTCTGACATAACTTAGCAACTAAACAACAACAGTAGAAGAGGAATAATAAGACCTGCCCATGGCAGATTTATAGTGAAGATTAATAATGATCTACAGGCAGGTTCCAGCCACTGTATCTGGCGCATAGTAGGCATTCAGCATCTCTGATGCTGCCCCTGTTTTGAAAGTGTCTTTCTTTGCTTTTCAAAAATGTATTTTTATTTAAAATGCAATGTGGCCTCAACTGTATCTGCTCTGTTTTTATGACTAATTGACCCACCATCACCTAGTCCTGGCTACATACAGGATATCAATGATATACCCTGTGAGGTGACCACTGCCATTGTTTAAGTCTGGGCTACCAAGAGGAACTCCCCAAGAGTCTTCCCCATGTCTGTCCTCCCTTGAGTGCAAACGAAATCCAAAATCCTCACCTGATATTCGAGGCTCTCCCTGTAGCCTGACCCCATCTTACTAGCCCAGTTTCTTTTTTTTTCCCATTTATTTTTATTAGTTGGAGGCTAATTACTTTACAACATTGCAGTGGTTTTTGTCATACATTGAAATGAATTAGCCATGGATTTACATGTATTCCCCATCCCGGTCCCCCCTCCCACCTCCCTCTCCACCCCATCCCTCTGGGTCTTCCCAGTGCACCAGGC